TTTTTTTTTTTTTTTTTTGTCGAAAATATATGCATTTAGCGGATAAATTAGGTTTAAATAGAATTATATTTTATAAATATTGATAATTTTGAATTAAAATATTTGCAGAAGAGGGTGATAACAACCAAAAGTGTGGAGTTTATGTCATTTCCTTTGTCGTTTTTTCTTACACTTTCAGCCGTCATGTGGTTCTTCTATGGCTTCTTTATGAAGGATCTCTTCATTGCTGTAAGTCATCAAAACCTAACCCTTATTTTAATCGTCTCCGTCCATATATTGATGGTGATTGTTAGATGAACACGACTATCTACAATGGTATGATATTGTTCACTTTAAGCATAGGCTCTCGTGGTTTTGCTTTAAGCTTCCCCAAAAGACTTCATTACCGATGGAGATAGTATTTTTTTTATTATAAAACCATGATTATTTCCTAAGTTAGCCGATGTGAGACTTTCATCCAACAGTGATAACGTTTTATACAGATTAAGGATGTTAATGCTATTTTTAATAATTCACGAGTATTTTTCGTTTTAAACATGGCACTAATTTTAAGGATATTTATTTATAAATTTTATAAAAAGTTGAAGGGTATTAATGAAATTGTTTAAATTTGAAGGATATTTTTTAATTTCTTAAAAAAAAAAATTAAAACGGTATTAATGAATATCTTAAAATGCAAGCCTTGAAACAAAATACCGATAGTAAGGGTATATTTTTAATTTTATTGAAAGTTTAAGGGTATTATTGGAAAATTTTAATTTTATTAAAAGTTTAAGAGTATTATTGAAAATTTTGTTAAAAAATTGACACGTTATTTATTTCTGTGAGGTTAAATATTCAAATTTTGTTCCTTCATATTTGTGGACGAATATTAATCTAGATATTGATTAACTATAATCATACCTCTAATCGGATTCATCGACATTAACTATAATTCATTTACACGTTACGGTTTTTATTTTATGTAATTACATTTTTACCCTTATTATTGGTAATATGGTAATTTTTTTTTTCTTTTTCATTTTCTCAGCTGCCAAACATTGTGGGGTTTCTTCTAGGAATGATCCAAATGATAATCTACATGATATATAGGGACAAAAAGGTAAATAGTTTCGGAGGAAAAGAAGTGAATCTCGAGGAAGGTGACAAGAAATACGAAGGAAATTACCAAAATGTCCCAACAATCGAGAATCGGGAGATTAATATGGTAAAAACCAATAGTAATATATAAATGTCGGGGTCATCAGGTGCCGAATTCGGATTCTGTATTTTGCTTTGCATACTAACTTGAACCGTTACGAGGTTGCATAAATAATGCAAAATTGAAGGACTTCAAAACAATAATTTTAGTTAGTTTTTTAATTTAAGTTATAATGCAACACATGTATTGCAATGTTCTTGTTTCTTGTTAACTCTATTTTTGTGTTATTTATGCAATGGAATTGTGGGTGACACATGAATAATTTTAGAGACCAAACATTTTATAAATATCCATATTTATGAATAATTTTCAAATTTAGGGTCGGTTTAGATTGTTATGAAAAAGGTTTGTTTATATATATCGAAACGGTTTGAAGTTAAAACACTAATATATTTGGTAACGTCTTCTTCACAAATTTTTTTATTTTCAATAAGATTATCCTCTAAAATATTAATATTGTCAATTAACGGACCTATAAAGAGAGGTTTGTTGAGAGTTATATTCTAAAGTCTCGTAACTCGTGTAGTATTCAACCGTATGTAGTCAATATATGAGAAAATCATGTTTGAGAAATAAGATTAAGAGTGAGTCGTGAATTCCTGGTTTGTGATTAATATTTCACAAGATAATTATATCTAACTTGATTTTAATCAATTATGAACTTTGACTATGAGCGTCTATGATAAGGCAACCTTAATCCTCAACGCAACGATCTAAGCTTTTGTTGAAGAAAGAACCCTTTAATCAAAGTAATTAACACCTTCTCGTACAAAATTTAGATCAACGAAGAGATAAGGCTAGAATTATATTACCTCTTCAAATTTAGATTAATTTAGATAAGCCAAGAGACAAGGAAATTTAGATTAATTTAGATCAAGCCAAGAGACAAGGCTAGAATTATATTACACGATCGAACATCTAGAAGCAAGATTTGGAAACATGGTTTTAAATTAAGTCACTCCACAATCGAACTTGATCAAGGAAATTTAAATCAACCAAGAGATAAAGGCTAGAATTATATTACCTCTTACGATCGAAAATCTAGAAGCAAGATTTTGATCTTGGAAATCTGGTTCTAAATTGAGTCACTCCACAATCGAACTTAATCTAGATCTTCATCTAGAAGCAAGATTTGGAAAACTGGTTCTAAATTGAATCACTCCACAATCGAACTTGATCAAGATCGAAGATCCACAATCGAACTTGATCAAGATCGAAGATCCACAATCGAACTTGATCTAGATCTTCATCTATAAGCAAGATTTGGAAAACTGGTTCTAAATTGAATCACTCCACAATCGAACTTGATCAAGATCGAAGATCTAGAAGCAAGATTTGGAAACTTAGTTCTTAATTGAGTCACTCCACAATACTACTACAAGAATGGAATGGTTGAAACTTAAAAATGACAAAGATGATCAAATTTCTAATGGAAACGTCTTATTTTATTTTGATATCTCAATTTCATTCATCCACCAATTTGATTTTTACCTAACCATTCGCGAGTATTTATAGTCTCCCGACAAAATAAGTTTGTGGCCACCAATCTGATTTTTACATAACAATTTCTGGCGACAAAAGACGTTTGTAGCCCGGATTTAATCTCGATATCATTTAATCTCTACCAAAGACGAGGTCAATTTGACTATTTGACTATTACAGAATTTATGAAATTAAAAATAATAAAGTTTTCTACGAAACGTTGATATGTTTGAGTGGCCAAACAGACATGCTTTTCAAGTAGGTTTCGGGACTAAAATGAAATGAAGCTCGTAAAGCATCAAATTATATTATTTGACACACTTTCTGAAAAGCATATACTTAAAGCACTGTAAAGCTCATAAAGCATAGTTCTTACCCAAAAAGGGCTATTTATTTCTATGCATCAACACTTCAAAAAGACAGAAAAATGCAGCATTAACCATTTGAAAGCCTGGCCTTAAGGGGATGAAAAGGTTCCAGAGCATACAAAGTGGTTCCAAAACAGCTTCAGATTCTCATTAAGCATATCAGTGATCACATCAACCTCAGCCTTTTCTTTCTACAAAGAAACGGAGAGATCGAACGAAATAATCAAAACAGTAACGTAGTCCCACGTTGATTAAACACGAGGAATGAATATCTTTGTCGGCTAAAACCATCCAAACTTGAACAAAATCATATCATTGTAGAAATATAGATAGCTTGAAGGAAATGGTGTTCAAAAGGTAGCTATAATGCCCGTGTAATTCAAAAATGCAAAATGGGTAACACGAGTTCGATGATTTATCGACCGAAAACATGCAACAATCTTAGTTCAAAAGGTAGCTATAATGCACATGTAATTTAAAAATGCAAAATGAATGCACAAGTAACTCGAAACTGCAAAATGAGTAACGTGAGTTTGATGATTTATCGAGCGAAAACATGTAACGTTCTTAGTTCAAAAGGTAAGCTATGCACATGTAACTCCAAAGTGCAAAATGGGTAACATGAGTTCGAAGATTTACCGACCGAAAACATGCAACGTTCTTGGTTCGTAAGGTAGATACAATGCACAGGTAAATCAAAAATGCAAAATGGGTAACACGAGTTTGATGATTTATCAACCGAAAACATGTAGCGTTCTTAGTTCTAAATGCAGCTACAATGCACATGTAATTCAAAAATGCAAAATGGGTAACTCAAGTTCGATGATCAAACGACTAAAAACATGCAACGTTCTTAGAGCAAAGACCATAATCATGTCGTAGAGTCAAAAAGCTTTTAAGTAAGGAGGTTGCGCCTACCAGTAGTTCGGACGTAAGTCGTTTCATCTTAAAAGTAACCTCGTTTGACACTTCACCAACCAATATCTTGAAATTGTATCGATCGGCATTTCTTAGCCTGATTCGCACAAATGGATTGCAATAAGACTTGGAAACAGTGTGCCAAGCTCCAACGACTTTGAATCTATCCCTAGAGGATGCTTTTCCCAGAGACCATCTTAAGCCACCCTTCACATCTTTGTCTAAAATGGCAGAATTTATGAGATCCAATATGCCTTCCATCTCATCATCCTAGAATACAAAAATGGAGATGTATTTCACTCTCAACTCCTAAACCTTAGTAAATAAAAACATCAAATAAAATTATACCGAATTCTCTGTTAAATAGGACCATAACTTCAGATATTGTCCGCTTTGACCCCTTATGTAACGCCGTCAGCCTCACGGTTTTAAAACACGTCTACTAAGGAGAGGTTTCCACGTCCTTATTAAGGAATGCTTCGTTCCCCTCTCCAACCAATGAGGGATCTTACAATCCAACCCCATTGAGGGCTCAGCATCCTCGTTGGCACACCACCCGGTGTCTGACTCTGATACCAGTTGTAATAGCCCAAACCCACCACTAACAAATATTATCCACTTTTGCCTGTTACATATCACCGCCAGCCTCACAGTTTTAAAATGCGTCTACGAGGGAAAAATTTCCACACCCTTGTAATCGTGAGATTACATATCACCATCAACCTCACGGTTTTAAAACGTGTCTACTAGGGAAAGGTATCCACACCCTTATAAGTAATGTTTCGTTCCCCTCTCCAACCGATGTGGGATCTCACAATCCACCCCCTAAAGTGCCCAACGTCCTTGCTAGCACACCGCTCGATGTCTGACTCTGATACCATTTGTAATAGCCCAAGCCCACCACTAACAGATATTGTCCACTATAGCCCGTTACATATCGCTATCAACCTCACAGTTTTAAAACACGTCAACTAGGGAGAGGTTTCTACATTCTTATAAGAAATGTTTCGTTCTCCTCTCCAATCAACGTGAGATCTCACGCATACCAATTACAGAAACTAAAGAGTTTTAAAGGAACAAAAACGTCACTGAAATTATGAAGAAAGTTAAAAAGAACTCATCAAGAGTAAAAGAACAATAAACCAATATGAAGTTTTATGTATCTCTTTTGAATGTTTTGAGTTAGAGGGCTTACAGTCAGCTTTCCTACGGTCTTCTTGGAGAATGTCATTACCCTCATGTCCACATTTTGTTTCAAGCACGAAATATCCGCAACCATATGTCGAACGGGGTTGAGTTCAACCTAAAAATAAACGAAAAACATGCACAGAAACTGTGAAATTGCACCTTAGAGTAGTAAAATATATGGGAGAGCTAGCAGCATTAGTGTTATTCATAGAAACAATACCATCAGGCATAATATCAATATCAATAGAGTTCATACAATTTATCAGACAAGAAACGAAACAAAGGTTTACCTTATAAAGTTCGAGTTTATTCAACTCAGGCAAAGCAGTACATTTGCACGTTAACGTCACGTGTGGATGCTCTGCATCGGATAACTAAAAAGAAATTGAGACATCAAATGGAGATGAAATCAAAACCAAGTAGCATCCCAGTTCGTCTCATCAACAAGGCATAACTAGTACCTTTATGTGATATGTGTCTTTCTCCTCTTCAAACGTAACTCCAATCAATGGAATTACTTTATCTCTAATGTTTTCGATGCAAGTTTCAGAAACATTTGCACGAAACGCCCTCTGCAGCTGTCCCGTCACCGCTCGAGTAGGCAGCTTATTACTGTCAAATTCAGAGGTCCGGCATAACAAAAATAATTAACATCCTAAACAAAAACAACACGTCTCGAATTGCACTGGCCATGTCCTCCAAATGACTTTCTAATCATAACCATAAATTTCTAAACATAAGATTTTATCCAAGTAACCGTTCGTGACAAAAGAGAAATTTAATAGAACTTTGTATTACTAAAAAAGGATGCTAAATTGATTTTCTACCTCTTCCACCAGTGTCAACATATACAACATATGTATATGTAGGAAACTTGGGACATTCCTCAATACCATTCATGATCTAACAACATGGTATCACAGTCATACCCTTAACTTAAGTATGTCAATAAATCCTCAAATGTTGAACAAAAATTGTGAGCCTCGAGGGTGTAGTCAAAAGTGACTCAAGTGTCGAACAAATGGTGTACTTTGTTCGAGGACTCTAGAGAAAGGAGTCGAGCCTCGATTAAGGGGAGGCTGTTCAAGGGATACATAGGCCTCAGGGGAGGCTCTATGGTGTACTTTGTTCTAGGGGAATATTAAGGAATACATCTCCATTGGTACAAGACCTTTTGGGGAAGCCCAAAGCAAAGCCATGGAAGCTTATGCTCAAAGTGGACAATATCATACCATTCTGGAGAGTCGAGATTCATGGTATCGGAGTCATGCAAAAGTAAACAAATATCTTATGGGAAGTTTTGCTCACCCATGAAAGATAACTTTTCCAATCCCAGCAACCAATGTCGGCTTCACTTCCTCGTCTTGGTTCATTTCATTCTTAATGTGTTCGATCGATGAAAGTAAGTCAGGTAGTAGCTTTACTACAATAGACGCCCACGGTTCGATTACGACTTCTTCCTCTTCTTTGTTTCCTATAATCAAGACCAACGTCCTTCATCAAAATTTCATCAAAACAAAGTGCAAATTGCATAGAGTAAGCAAAAAGAAGCTTCAAGACATAGTTCAATTACCTTGAGACACATTAGAGTACACCAAAGCTAGATGTTTTTCACCCATTCTATGCTCATTAGCCCGCAGAGCAATCGGTTCGAGACGAACACGAGAGGGAAACAGGTTATCATCATCAGAATCACCAATGATAAACCATTTAAGTGTAGCCTGATCAGCATAGATTATCCCTCCACTCCTGCCCACTTTACGTCCAGATGCCCTCAAATCCAATTTTCTGTTGAATAGAGGAGCAAGCAACTCCGCTGTGGGAGATGGCTTTTCCATATCATTGGAATGACGTTTATGTGGAGGTAAATAGGCCATAAAGCAAGATATCAATGCACAATCAGAGTATCTGATAGTCAAAGAAAGAGTTAATCCAAAAACAAATCCAAATGGTTCAACAATGAGAAACTTCTTAATAGAAAATTATAACAACCCGATTAAAGTAACCAGAAGAGGGATGGAAATGACACATCAAAGACCAAATGAAAGATTCACGGATTTCCTAGCCCGTAGGCAGGCCAAAGCTGCCATGATCGATCTCCAGTGCGGATAATGGTAACATGAGTAGGCAATACCAAGACTCTTTCTATTTCCAAGCGATGACCGTTTATGACTCTTTGATTGAACCACTCCTATTGAAATGATATCTAAACATTTTCCCTACTAATGATAGCTTAATACAACAAATGAAGCTAATACGAACAGAATTCAACATGTCTACACAATGGATTATCGATCAAATTAGCTCAAACAATCAGTTCTAACAACACAAAAGCAAATATAAGAAAAACCCAACAAAGAAAAAGAAGAACACTTCGAAAAATAAGGCACATACATTTGAAATTTGCCTCGATCTTCAGTTAATCATAAAACCCACAAGGCAGAGCAACAAATTTATAGCAAAAATTGAGAAGAGAGGAAGAAAAAGAAAAAGAATCAAAGTTTCACCTTTTGGGAAGTTGACTGACTTCGCTTGTAAGGAAAAGGAAAGTTCCTAGTGATAGCGGAAAAGCACAGAGACACTTTATATCTTAAGAAGGAAGAAAGGGAAAACAAAGGGCTCGATTAGAGGAGCTACGATGGGCGCTTAGACATCCGAGCTTGAGCTATTCAATTTGGAGGGTTGATCCATGATCATCGATGGGAGTCTTGGAGGAAGGGCCATTAGAAGCGCGATTTATCGATGATCATCGGGCATTGTAAAAGAAAAAAAGAATGGGTAATCAATGTTAGTTTGTAATGACCCATTTCTAAGGGACTAAGCCCAGGACCATTACTCACTACTCACTGACATAGAAAGACCCGGATCATTACTCATTCACATAGAAATAAGTAAAAATGTGTAAAGTTTATTTAAACATGTGCCCACATCATAAAATAGATGAATACCGATTTCAAAGATGAGTACAAAAGAAAATCTAAACTCAAGTGTGTTGGGACTCCCGGTAGCCAATAGCTCATGTGTGTCTCCGGCTTCAACCACTACATCAAGCTCCATCTGAAAATAGAGTTGAAGTAATATGATTGAGTATATAAAATATACTCAGTAAGCAGCTTGCGGGTTAGGTTTTATTAATCTTAGTTTAACTCATTTGGGGGGGTTTGTTCCTTGGTATAGGCGCTTCTTAGGTTACACACTAGGTTTGCCCATTCTATTTTATGGGTTCTTGAGCCCTTATAATATTCTTAAGTTATTTAAGTTCTGAAGGCACGGTCTCAATATTAATCTAATATGATTTATGTATGCTAAGGCTGAACCAACTCTAAAGTGCAACTATGGACTCATGTTGCTCGTGGCAAGTTTACCAAAAGAAAGTTAACTGACAAATTTTCTAATAGTCCCCCCTGGGCACAAACTATATATGTCAATTCTATGGTTATTCAGACCCCTGACAATCGAGTCAGGCTTGCGATTAGGGGTTAGTTGGCAAACCCCTATCATTCCCATATAACTGCATAACTCATATGCATGAACAATAATCATATAACCAATTCATAAGGTACTGCAGTGGACCCCTACCACTCATGACAAGCTCCAATAAGCTAACCGGCAAACTTCACAGTAATCCAGGTACAATCATAAGTCATAAAATATCTAAGCTAGCACCATGGTTATACAGACACCTGATAATCGAGTCATTTTCACGATTAAAGGTTACTTGATGAACCTCTAATCGTCCTCGTATAGCCGCATACATTACAAACATATGAAATAGAGACATAGCATAGCAATCTAAACATGAATACCTAATCATGAATTTCAATTCATAGGACAGTGCATACACGTTCAGTAAACAATGAATACCTAATCATGAATTTCAATTCATAGGACAGTGCATACACGTTCAGTAAACATGCATGATAAACATTCAACATGTGTCATCCCAACTCATTCTATGCTCAAACATTTAGAATAGGTTTCTTATAACATGCTTTGTATCATAGTAAATGCTCTCGATTTCAGTCAAATCGTAACTCATCAGTTCATTCCTTTGTAAGCGTACATCATAATGTTTAACGTGCTTTTACATGCATCAAACCAACTCATTTTATGCTCATATTTCTGTGACATTCTTCTTATATCATACTTACATGCATACTACGAGCATAACTAAATCCAAGGTTTTGAGGTGCCACTTACTTAGAATGCAACACTTTTTTTACTCACGTTTCGTTCTTCCAAAAAGTCTCAAATTTCATCAAACTTCTCAAATATACCCGAACACTCCAAAAGCTAAAAACCACAAATAAAAAAATAAAAAAGTCAAATTTTGACCTTTGACCATTGACCATACAACGAGCTTACGTCATTGTTGATGCTGATGTCACCCTTTTTTGTTTTCTTTTTTTTTTTTCTCTCTTCTAATATTTATATTCAAATAAAGAAAGTTAATAAAATTATATAAATTTCTACTCATAATTAAAATTAGTACTTATAAATCAAATATAATTATTTTATCTCATTCATTTTAACATAAAATACATTTATTTTAATTATTATTATTTATCTCCTAATTCTCCCACCTTATTTATAAACCATTTGGTTTTTTTTATAAATAAAATAAAATAACAAATAATAGAAACCCAAGCCCAACCCAATTGACTTGGTCCACCACCAAAAGCTTAGCTCAATGACTTAGCCCCCTTACCTCAATGGCCTAAGCCCACCGCGAGTAGATATTGTCCTCTTTGGCACGTAATTTATGTTTTATTATTAATAAAAATAAATAATTGGTTATTTTTATTTGTAGTATTCATTATTATTCTCTTTATAAATTCTGCCAAAATTACTAGGCAAACTCATTAATACGAAACGATTCTTAATATATTTTATATATTTTTATTTGGTTTGGGTCAACCCGAAGGTTTTGTCCCACGAACCCAACCGAATCGATTCAGTTCAAATTCAGAAAAATGAACCCAACTCTACCCGAAATACTAATCCAACCCAACCTAGCCCTTATAATTCAGGTTAGGTTGGTCCGGGTTGTCGGGTTGTCAGGTTGAATGTACACCCCTATGCACGAATATCACATTCAAAAAGTGATTTGATAAATCTATAATATATGGATGTGGTTTGCATATTCTATCTCGATAACAAACCTGACTTGTTTTGTAAATTTTATAAATGATTAGATACTAATAGTTCATTCGTGTAAAATTTAATCAAGTTACTTACTTATTGCTTCTAGGAGTGAAGACTATCACCACAAATCAACACGAGTTCTTCTTGCCTATCTTGTTCTCAATCACATGCATGATATGAAAATACCGAGGAGGTCACTAAATATAAAATTGCTCCATGCAAAACCCGTTTAATCTTGGAGTATGATTAAGTCACCTAGTTGGGTTTAAATAGTAACTTTCAGTTTTGTTACGTCTTTCTTAGTCATCTTACTCTCAGAATCGCTCTTACTCGGATATGATTTTAATTCATTCATGTACCCCTCATTTACTCGATGTCACACTTGTAGTTTGTGCATGCATGTCTGAACCCATTCGAAAGGTTACTCCGTATTTTTAATACTCAAAAGTTTTTCAAAACAATTTTTTTCAACCAACGATAAGAACATACAAGATGTACGATGGGACATTTGTTTATCAAACCACAATGATCCTCGCATTCCCCTACATCCCCGACAATATGATCACATTATTTACTCTTCGCTTCCAAGACGTAAGATTATCCCATAAACCAACACGAGTTCCTTCAACATGCTTTATCCTCACTCACATGTTTCTTAAAAAAATTCACACTTGTTTATCAAACCACGATGATCCTCGCATTCCCCTACATCCCCGACAATATGATCACATTACTTACTCTTCGCTTCCAAGATGTAAGATTATCCCATAAACCAACACGAGTTCTTTCCGCATGCTTTATCCTCACTCACATGTTTCTTAAAAAAATTCACACGAAATCACCCAACATAGAATTTGTAACGGCCCAGATCCACCGCTAGCAGATATTCTCCTTTTTGGGCTTTCCTTTAAGGCTTTAAAACGCGTCTGCTAGGAGAAGGTTTCAAGCAAAACATGATTGATCCACCGAAAACGAACGTACATCTCAAAATCGCTCTCATTCAAATGTAGTCTCGATTTATTCATACACCTCTAGCACTCACTCGGGTGCCCGAGAAAAAAAATAAAACCACCAAATTTGAAAAACATATATTTACTTACTCCTTATAATAAGAGATGAGAGTGGTACAGAGAGTCACAGTTATAGGGCAGAGGGGGCAGGTCAGACCTCCGTATACCCTACATTTCCAAAGAATAAAATAACTCCAAATTGCATGGTAGGGCAGCCCTTGAATTCTGGGGCACCCCCACCCTTATTTCATTATTATTATTATTATTATTATTTTGGAAATAAAAAACCTTTTGTTTTGGATTAGATGGGTCGTCAACTGTCTCTACCAGAAAGGTAAATCAATTAATGCCTTTTTTTTAATTTTTAAAAATATATATTATTTTATATAATTTTATTTCCCTCAAGTGTTTGATGTGTAAGGGTACCCTTCTTTTGTCCACACACTAAATTCTTGTCCTCTTTTTGGTAGGGCAAAGTTGGAAATATCGGTGTTTATAAGACCTGAGAATCCGACCACCTCGGACTACCTAACCCAAATCTTAAAAATTAGGTTGGGTTCGATTTTTTTCGATCTGGGTTGGGTTGAATTTTTTGAAACCAAAAAAATTCGAATGGTTTGCGGGCTGACATTTTGTTAGACCAACCCGACAATTGGGTTACAATGTAATTCTACCCTACATTACTTTTGAGAATATTATGAAGATTAAGAATATTTTACGTTTCTAACTGGGTTAGTGATGCATTGTGACGAGTCGATTGACAGAGACGTCAACTAATTGAGTGGGGGAGGATGTCACGATCATGCTTGTCCAATGGGGGAGCGAACCGAAAAGCTCAGCTTTGAGGAACGGACCAATCTTACCCCATTTGCTTATGGCCGATGGGGAAGGCAGAGAAGAAAACGTCCTTAGCGCAGCATGTTGCTTATGGCCGCATGACAGATGTCCTAGTCTTGCTTGTTATGGTCGGTTGACAGGGACGTCAACCAATTGAGTGGAGGAGGATGTCACGGTCATGCATGTCCAAGGCATGTTGTCAATGACCGCATGACAGATATCCCAGACTTGCTTGTCCAGGACATGTTGTCCATGGTTGCATGCTCGTTCCAAATCCCTTTTACATGTTTTCATCCTAGATAGGTCTTCACCATTCCATATTGGATTAGTATGAGGATGTATGACCGTTCACCAAAATCGTGTCTACACCTGCAAGGGCTAAAATGCCCCCAAAATGTACTATACGCGGATATGACTAGTTGTGAACTTCTTCCTACCCGATAGTTATATAAAGCAAGCCGTTGTTGTTGCCTTTTTTATTACATTCTCAAATCTTGCTTTCAAAACTCTCTTTCGAAATATCTCTGTCCTCCATTTCTAAAACTTTCTTCTTGAACCGGGGTCAGAGGCTCGAGGGTGAATGTTTGTTATTTGAGTTTTTATCATATCTTAGTTATTAATATAATATCTACCGTAGATAAGTAAGATTTTTTAAATAATTTAAAAAACACCCGATAAGCCAATCCAACCCAAGCTAAAAATAGAGGGTGACATTGAGTTGAATTGTGAACTTTATTCAGGTTGCTCGAGTCACCACCCTGAAATTTCGAGTTGGTTCAAAAAAAAAAAATTCAACTCAACCAAACCTGAGATTTCGCTTGTAATCTTAAGTTGTTTTCAGATGGTAGTAGAAGTCCTTAACCAAGAGTACCTTTGATGTATCTCAGAACTCGAAAAGCTGCCTCACAACGTGGTTTTCATGGTTCATACATAAATTAACTAAGCATACGAACGAAATACACTATGTCAGGTCTAGTAACAGTTAAATATATTAATCTACCAATCAACCGTCTGTATTTACTTTATAATAAATAATATCTATGTCGAGCTATAACTTCAGTTTATTAGCGTGTGGATTAGGGTAGGAAGAGGGTTACATCAATAATCATAATTGGCTAAGATCTTTGGTAGCTCCAGAATCTTAAACACTTTAATACAAATTATTATTACAAAAATGTCCATAAAAAGTTAATTCACAATATATTATAATTTGATGTAGGTCTCACTAAAGTTGGGAGTATGAATTAATACATTTAATATATATTTTTTTTTTAAATTATGGTTCAGTTCATTTAATCTGGAGAGACTCATCCCAGATGGGATTAAGAATAGGAGCGGGAGTGGGAGCGGAAAGACATTTTACCTTATTTGCTAAATGGGTTCGGGGACGGAAATTATATTCACGACTCTCTATATATAATATGTATATGTATATGTATATCGGACAGAAAACTAATTTATTATATATATATTTTTAAGTAAATAAATATTTTTTTCCAGAGCGAAAAAAATTTAAATTTTTAGAAATTATGTTATAGATTATATCATATTTTGATTTAGGTGAGGACGGGGATAAGGAAGGCTTCCCATCACGTCCCATGGACATTTTTATTATCGATATTCCTTGAAGATATTATTGATATTATCAGAATTGTGTGACGGAAAAAAAAATGATAAATAAAATAAGATTAATAAGTGAAACACACATACTTGCGAGTCGATTCGACGTGATTATGATTGATTATGTTTATCGCACTCCAAGATCCATAATTCTATCCCGTGATCTAATTAAAATAAAAAAAAAATACACTTAATCTGATTTCCGATAATTATGTCGGACCGTTACGATCATTTTTTTAGAATTCTTCGTCTCTCGTCTCGTCTATTTTTTTTTTATTATTATTCTTTACATAAAAATGTGACATTTTTGTAAACCGAAACTATTGCTACAGAGAGGATTGAAACTGAATTAGTATTTTTGACCATATTCGCGAGAATCATAATGAGAGTTAAATTTGTATCGATACCGACATCCAGATCGAACAGTAGATGATTTGTTACTATATCAAAATCTAGACGAGTCGATCGATTTGGTATTTTATTTATTTATTAAAAATTCATGATTTTATGCCAGATAAACTAAAACTATTATCTGTTTATAAAAATGTGAATGCAGATAACATTTTTTGTTTTTTATATATAATACTTTTAATCATTTTTATTACCACATTTAGTCATAATTTTTTTTTTCTTTCTGACTTAATATGATCTAAATTAAATATATTTATATCAAAATAATGTATTTTTTCAATTAAAATTTTATTTTTTCTTTCTTAATTTAAATGCATTAAATTTTTTTCCAAGTATAAAAATTAAAATAGTAAATAAATAAGAGTATTTTAATTAATTATAATTATAACTACAGATATAATCAAATAATTTCATTTTAATTAGGTGGAAAATAATAATTTTTTTTATTAAATTAATAAAATAGTACTTATCTAAAAAAAAATATTCTTAAAATTACAAAAATTTCAATAATATTCTTAAATTTAAAAAAATCTAAAAAAAATTAATTTTTAATATATAGATTATGTCTAAATTTTTTAATATTATTATTTTTTTTATTAATTTAGTGAATTATTTTTAATTAAATATTAAAGGAAAATGTTTGTAGGGGAAGGATTTATAGGAGGGTAATGGTCGGGGAGAGGTGTGTGAAAACAGGAACCCTCCAAAAAGCTTCTCTGAACTTTTTTGCTTTCTGTTTCGCTCTGATTTGTTCATCGGCTTCCTTTTTCTCTGCCTCCATTGTTGTGTAATCAGAAGCTCCAAAAGTCTAAGAATCCGTTGTTTTCTTGTTGTTGTTGTTGTTCTTCTTCTTCAGTTTGGTGGCTGCTTTTTAGTGTACTTCGTATGGAATCCTCTGTAAGTACTTTCCGCCATTTCTTCGTTTTTCTCTGCCGATCTCTGTTTGTTGATTTTAGTTACGTTTGTTTTGTTTTTGAAGGATTATTTTGGCAGAAACAGTGGCCAAATCCACGTTCAGCACCACCAAATCCCGGCGTTTAGCGACTGGGATAAGGCCAGGGATTTGCCGATTAATCAATATTTCGAAACTGCTCGTCAGGCTGGTTTGATTCACTACAGTTCCTCTTCCGGCGAAACCGGTCCCTGCCTTCCTTCTTCCGATTTGTACTCCGTCGATCGCAAAAATCCTCCGCCCTCAGCCGCCGCACGCAAGGTCTCCATCTCCGTCTCTATCTCTATCTCTTCATTAATCGAAATTTCTGGTTGATTAAAATCGCTCTGCCCTCTGTGTTTCTTTGTGTTTTTAGTACTGATTTTCGATTGAATAGAATAGTGAAATCGCTCTATCTCTATCATTTCATTAATCGAAATTTGTGATTGATAAACTCGTTCTGCATTCTATGTTTCTTTGTGTTTTTAGTACTGATTTTCGATTGAATAGAATAGCGAAATCACTCTATCTCTGTCTCTGTCTCTATCTCTTCGTTAATCGAAATTTGTGATTGATTGATTTTCGATTGAAGAGAATAGTGAAATCGCTTTATCACTATCTGTTCATTAATCGAAATTTCTGATTGATTAAAATCGCTCTGCTCTATATGTTTCTGTGTGTTTTTAGTACTGATTTTCGATTGAATAGAATAGTGAAACCGGAGTAATGAATTTGATATAGAATTCGAGAAGTAATTTTCATTTTCCGGGAGAATGTAGCGGTATTTTCTAGGTAACCAAACAGGTGACGGGGAGTAAAGATCAACTAGGGCTATTGAATTGAAATCACAATATTTGGTTGGTGAAGGGAATGAAAACGCGAAATGAATGAAGTGATTGTGATTTTGAATAACGAAGGGTACACGTGGCGGGATTTGCAGGCACGGGTGACGGAAAAGCGTTACCCGCAAGTGGGATTAAAGGAACACCAGATGCCATTAAAGAAGCAACAACAAGGTAGAGTGTTCGACGTGACGGAAATGGGAGGAGCGCGAAAATTCAAGCAGAACAACGTGTCGATCCCACGTCGTCCGCCTAAATCTAATGCTACTAAACCGCCCAAACCTGTCGATGAAGATCTCTACAAAATCCCACCAGAGATGCTCCATTCTTCAAAGCGGGTACATTCCTTCTCCGACTAATTTATCCATTAAACTATACTCGAATTAACTAACGATTTATTAGTACTACCTCAATACCGTTAATTAGTAAATTTGTTAAATACCCATTTGATTGGTGGTTTAAAAAGTAATCATTATCACCTCCCGGGATCACTCTTGTCAGCTGTTATAGTAGTTATCGATAGTTACATGAGATTCCTCCTTATTCTTAAGCAAGTTCTCTGAGAGAATTAGGCTTTAGTTGATCCATAATCTACATTTCGTCTTAGGATCGAGAAAGAGATTCTTATTGTTTTCAAGAGAATTAGGCTTAGTTGATCCATCGAAGAAGAGATTCTTATGGTTCTCGAGAGAATTAAGTTTAGTTGATCCATGATTTATGTTTCGTCTCAGCCTCAAAAAAGAGATTCTTATTGTTCTCGAGTGAATTAGGCTTAGTTGATCCATGATCTATGTTTCGTCTTAGCATCGAGAAAGAGATTCTCATTGTTCTCGAAGAAATTAGGCTTAGTCGACCCATCGAAGAAGAGATTCTTATTCTTCTCGAGAGAATCAGACTTGGTTGATCCATGATTTATGTTTCGTCTTAGCATTAAAAAAGAGATTCTTATTATTGACTTCACGGGTTAATAATTATCACGGATTTTTAAGACAAATAGTCATTCTCGGGCATTTTACCATATCTTTTACAACTTAGAGAGAAACATAAATATCCAAAATAGAAAAAACGTCTAGCTTTTAATGTTGACTAATACATCGATCGGGCCAGCATTATTAAAATCTTGATTCTTTTAGAAATTTCTTTTTTCGGTATCGAAGTTGAATAATACTATACTCGAGAATGAATTATTTTTTATTAATAACCCTTTTAATTTCTATTTACTTTGTTATACAGAACAAAATGAAGGGCTTATTTTCAAGGTGTTTGGTACCATCTTGCAATTGAGGAATGGTTGGTCTATGTTATTTATTAATTTTATTTTTATAACCTTTTATTTTGGTTTTAAGGAAATAAAAATAAAATAGATTGAATAAAGATTAGATTAAATTATCGAATTTAAACGTTACTTTAGTGATTTGTCGTTGATATACTTTTGATATGTTGTAGGTTTGAATCTACCTTCTACGGGAGAGATGCACGGGTTCTCTAGATTATCATTAAAATACACAGAATAAAGAATAAATGTTTAAAGGTTATTTAGACCCTTAAACGTTGATGTTTAAAAATCATTTAAATTATTTAAGTGATATCTACGGTAGTTTTTTATAAAAAAAAAAAAAAATTATTGGTTACATTTGTGTAAGGAAGCTATTGAATAAGAAATTTCGACAAATGACAAATTATTATTGCGTATTATTAAATTTGAAACCTGTTACAAATTAACAAAATTTAAAGATAAAACATGACCATTATGACAGTTTATCGTATAGACTAGATTGTTTAAATTGGATTAAATAACGAAATATATTAGATGATAATTGAGGCCGAGGCTTAAAGGTAACTACGCTCGAGCCCATGTAGCTATGAATAGAAGAGCTATGTTTTTTAGGACCGAAATTGCTTTCAAGACTTCGATACATTGAAGCTATCTTGAGACGGTGTACAAGACTTTGATCGATTAGTTTACCATCTAAGAAAACCAACAGGCCTAGAACAAGAGTAATGAAGTGGCCGAGCTCTAATTCGTGAAAAAAAAGCTGATAAACTTTTTATCCACACTTTTAAGAGATGTTCTTTTAAAAGAGGTATACATGAACTTTGGTTGAAATATCTATCATAATTTACAATTCTTCGTTGTAAACTACATAAATTGATTTATAGCCTCAAACAAGCATCATAAAAATAGCTTTTTTCGGGAAAACTAATATTTATGAGCTCATAAAACACATTGACATTGCAATGTGTTATTATAAAAAAAATGTCAGAACCATCCGTTGCTGAATCTGGATTCCAAATCTTAAGTATGGAGCATTACGGGTCCCACAATCCCGACATTTCAATTTCAAGAGAGAAAGAAAAAAAGAGTGAAAACAATGCCGTGCCGACATGTGAAGACAAGAATAGAAGAAGACCTACACAAATTGTTTATCTAAAATTCACATTCTCTTTTAGCGCTCGGTCCCACCACTTTTGGAACCCAAAAACAACTCTCAACTTTCCCCATCTCGACATCTCGACTATGTGCATGTTCTATTACAGTCATTCAACTTTCAAATATTTCATATTTCATTTTAGTAGTTCATAAGCGTTCTATTCCTAATTCTTCAACTTTCAGATATTTCATTTTAGTAGTTCATCAGTTCTATTTCTGGTTCTTCAAGTTCGTGTAGTTTTCAGCTACGCCCTTCTAGTTTCAAAACTTTCGTTTTAACCCTTAGCGTTTTCGAAAACTAACACCGAGCCCACGTAAGTCTCGTCTCATTCATCACTAGGGTCGAACCAAAAACATCAACATCAACATCAGCAATAAGCAATTCATTCATATTCCTTTATGATTAGCAAAAAAAAAAAAAAAAAAAAAAATGAAGTATTTGTAGTTCATCACTCTGTTTTGGACCAAAACTTTCCTATTTCTTGTGTAATATGTGCAACTTTTTGTATATCTATATCTATACACAGGTGAATTGAAGTAAAAGAATCTGACCTATTTTCATTATGCAGTGTGAGTAATTGAACCAGCTCTTTGCAGCTTTTCGAGTACGCTCATAGCCTTCCTCTTTGCTCTCGAATTCCCGTTTCGGGAAAGTTTCGAGATCATACCATTTGCATTCTCGTCCTCCTGAATCTCCTTCAATTTGCTTCGATAAGTCGAGGAGATCGTGTCCAGTATCGATATGCAGTTTTCTTTCACGCCTTGGGACGTAGATTCCCTTATCACTTTCAACATACACGACACCGCGTTCAGCTTGCACATTATGCTGATAGCCTTCATATTGTTCGAAAGAAGCGCAAGTACTGAAACCAACTCGTCGACCAATACACCTTCGGTGATGTTTCGAAGAACCGAGACAACTACTCCGCTCGAAACTGCCTTCTCTTTGTTCGCGCTTGCGGTACAGAGAGTGAAAATTGCTGAAGCTGCATCTCTCATTACTACCGGATGGCCTTCGTCTAAAAGTCCAACCAGATGTTTGATAGCTCCCGCGTTACCAATGGCAATCTTATTCTCCTGATATAAAGATAGCGAGAAAATAGCTGCAGCTGCATTCGCCTTCGCCTCGCTACTTCCGTATTGTAAGGATTGGATCAGCAACGAGAGGACCAACTGGTTCTCGACGAGACGTTTCTTGTTATCGCCACTAAGTGAGATATTAAGAACAGTGGTAATCAAATCCTCTTGAAGATCAGGATGGAGATTAACGTGGTCTACCGAGATAGGATGCAATAGTCTCTCGATCGAATCCGGGAGCTTCGCGAAAAGGGATCGAAACTCATGGTTCCATTTCGCTATCTGTCTCAACTCCTTTGCAGCTAACTTTTGATCCGAAAGGGATGAAGACAACAACTGGTTAAGCAATTCATCCAAATGGGATTCAGTGGCATGGGCCACTGTTTCCTCATAAGTAAGCTTTGGAAGCTCCAATTTGTTATCTATGCACCATTTCAAAATCATCGACCGAAGACTACGATTCGGAGTAAGCGTCATGTCGTGAAGGACTTCGTTGGTCCGAGGACATGTATTGTGCCCTTTATTGAACCATTTATTGATGAAGGGCCGATCATATGTCTGCAATTCACAAACATGTTTCAAGAACAATAAGAACAATCACAATCATACTAACACTATCCACAGAGAAATCTTCTTATGAATTGCATAATAGACATCAAGAAGAAACATGAGCAATGAGCAATGAATTGCATAATCGACACTTAAAAGTCACTTTTTGACTACACCTTCGAGGCTCACAACTTCGTTGTTCGACATTTGAGGATTCTATTGGCATAGCTAAGTTAAGGGCATGACTCTAATACCATGATAGAAATCACGACTCTCCACAATGGTATGATATCGTCCACTTAGAGCATAATCTCTTGTCGCTTTACTTTGGGCTTCCACAAAAGACCTCGTACCAATGGGGATGTATTCCTTACTTATAAACCCATGATCATTCTCTAAATTAGCCAATGTGAGACTCACTCACAACGATCCTCCCTTCGAACAAAGTACACTATAAGCCTCCCTTGAGCCTTATGGAGCTCTCGAACAAAGTACACCCTTTGTTGGACACTTTTTTACTACACCTTCGAGGCTCGCAACTTCTTTGTTCGACATTTGAGGATTCTATTAACATGACTAAGCTAAGGGCATGACTCTGATACCATGTTAGGAATCACGACTCTCCACAATGGTATGATATTGTCCACTTTGAGCATAATCTCTTATGGCTTTCCTTTGGGCTTACCCAAAAGGCCTCGTATCGTACAAAATGTATTCCTTACTTATAAACTCATGATCATTCCCTGAAATTAGCAGGCCCTCTCCAATGAATCATGAACCATAATAGACATCAAGAAAGGAAAAGGGCAATGCCATTGGAGCAATGAATCATAACCAGAGGCCACAGAAATCATAGAAAACAAACAAAACAGAGCCCACAGAGACAAATTCTTCACAGCAACACAATCTTAATCCACAAAAACTCCAAAAAACAGATCAATCGCAAGAAAAACCAAGAAAACAGAATCAAACCCAAAAGATTTCAAGAGAAACCCTCTAACCTGACCAGTTTTCAACAGAACAGGGTCTTCCATAAGCTCCCCAGAAATCGGGCACCGGAACTCATCCGGCATAACCAGAGCCGTACGGGCACTATCCCCACCAGATTCCACCGGAGCAGCAGCAGCAGCAGCAGCAGCGGCGGAGGCGGCGGCCATTTTGGTGAGTTTCAAAGAATTCAATTTCTCGATAGCCTCATCAGCGATTGAGCATTCAAAATCATCTTGATCAACGATTCTTTGGAGCAACTCTTTGATATCTTTCTTGAGGAGTTCCAAGGACTCCTTGTCGGCCATAGCCGCCGGCGTGAACCGCAAATGCAGGAGGAATCAAACTAAAATCGAAGAAAATCGGTGGTGGGTTCTTTCAATCTTTCCTTATTTGTTCGATCGAATGAACCCCGTTTCGAAATTGCGATGAATCTTTCACATGGGGGGTTATGAAATTGGGTATATTCGGTTCTTGAAGTGATTCTGAAAACGGAAAAGCAAGGGGCAGTGGGCGAAAGAACAAAGAATTGGACGGAATTTGCGGTGAATGAAGGAAAGAGTCGACTCCCCTCTCCACTGGATTTTATTGGGTGCCACGTCTGCCAAAAATCATTATTTCTTTTGCCACATCATCATTTTCTTTTTCTTTAATATTCATATTTATTTTCTTCATAAACTATTTTTTAAAAAAAAAACATATATAATAAAATTTTATAAAAACTAAATATATATTTTTTAAAAATTATTATTCTTTCTCGTGGTTTGTTTAGAGCAATTTTTTGTTGGGCGTTCTTCCAAAAATCAACTAACGAGCACAATTGAATTGGATAAGTCGTTATATTATCGGAAGTAAAAAAATATATAAATTAATTTTTTTTCGTATTATAAATTATTTGATTGGATTTTGTTTGATATTACGTCTATTACTAATATATTTTATCCATATATAAATAAAAATAAAAATTTTAAACCAATTGTAACTAAATATTAATAAATTATCGATAACATATAAATTAAAATTAATTATCGGTTTAAAATTTAATAGAAACTGGTTCTACCAATCAGGTCGAGTGAATTCAATAATCGAAGCTTGTTGACGTCCAAACCTTTATTCTCGAGCCTATTTAAAAGAAAACTCTAATAAATGGAAAGTCTAGAAATATATATATATATATATATATATATATATATATATATATATATATATTTATTTATTTATAGCTGAAAAGTTATATATTATTTAAGCGGTTGTTATTTCCATGCTATATGACACCGCTCTCTCTTGCTCTCAAAACTCTTTTTTCAAAACCTCTCTCTCCGTTTTCTAAAATCTTCTCTTGAGATTGAGACCTGAGGTTTGTATTCACGTTGTCCGACCGTAAGCAATGTGACTCGAAGTAGGCTTGACTCACTCCGTGTTGCACAATTGCCAAATTCGCTTTCTAGAAACCGTCATTGTGACAGTTGATACATACATATATATATATATACACACATATGTATATGTATATCTATAGATATAGATATGTATACGTGTGTATATATATATTTTCAAGGGTAATAGTGGAAGAAAAAAAGACACCGACCGTTGTGGTGAGACGCAGCTGGAAGTGGAAACTAAGGGATTTGCATGGAAACTTCTTCAACCAGCTTGTAATGCACCATGTAACCCGCGTCTTCAATTTTCATTTTCTTTTATTATTTTAATTCTCGTTTCTATACTAGAATGTTACATGTTCGGGATTCATATCGAGATTTAGAATTTGACTTTGACTTTTGATAGTTTCGACATTCAACATGATCGGGTTACATGTTTGTCTTGAACTACTTAGGTGAGATCCCACATCGGTTGGAGAGGAGAACGAAACATTTCTTATAAGAGTATAGATACCTCTCCTTAATAAACGCGTTTTAAAAACCTTGAGAGGAAACTCGAAAGAGAAAGCCCAAAGAAGACAATATTTGCTAGCGGTGGACTTGGACGGTAAAAAGATGCTTTGTCTTCGCTCGATGTAAGAAAATTGAATTTTCTTAAACTTTTCTTGACCATAATTTCATACCTTCAGGATCACGGTCTGATTTCACTTCATTTATATATTTCTCATTTACTTGAATGTTACAGCTGGCCTTATTATACCGTTTTGAATGTTTAGTCTAAACATATCTACCTGACGGTGGAAAAGTATTTAATGATAAATTTTAAGATATTATAATTAAATACTTTTCCTATGACTTTCATTAGTTAATATTTCTCGTGCTTTAATGCAATTTGTTAAGGTGCCATCATTGATCAACGTTATGAATCTTTAGGTCTTAACGCTTTCCGTACTATCTTCTAGTAAGATTAGCATTTTAATGTATTCATTTTAGGCGATGGTATTTTATTGTGGTGTTCATAGGTTGGGTCGAGTTGTGACATTTTTTTGGACTCAATCTAACCTTTATCTAAAATTAACAAATATCAATGTCTATAGGTTTGAATGGCTAAGGGAACAGACTTAAAATCGGTTGGGTTTTGACCGTGCAAGCTTGCACCCTGCTATCAACGAGTTGATTTACTGTCTAGATTCTTATTAGAAACGGCTAAAAAAAAAATATTAATATTAAATTTTTAGGGCCCATGGGTCATATATTTAATAAACTAAGTTAAGATATGCATATTGACATTTGAATCTCTTTGTCGTATATCGTTTAATCAGATCATGTCATCATTTTATAAGTGTCGATATGTTCGAGTGGTTAAGGAGACAGACTCGAAATCTGTTAAGCTTTGCTTGCATAGATTCAAATCCATCTATCGACGTTTTAAAATTTTTTAAAAGAAAATATCAATTTTATTCACTAAAACATAATATATATCGTGCTGTAATGCAAATTGACATTTTTCGGGTTTGGGTTTGAGCTTTTAGCTTTATAGATTAGGAAATAATTAACTTAGTCCAAACACAAACTTTTAGAGACCTCGAATTAGGAACATTTGATCTCATAAAAAAAAAAAATATACATACAGAATGCTTGCTTACATGATATACGTTATATCATTCAAAATTGGCGACCTAAAATTTTGTCCAATGAACCTAAAACCCGAACCAAATCTACTTGATTCAACCCAAGTCCTATCGGGTAAGGTCGAGTTATCAAAAGGCTCTCTCCTCCCTTCTTTTACTTGTTTGAGTTTCCTTTTAAGCAATTTGATCAAACCCTAATTTTGAACCACCTTCTCACCCTTGACTTCCGACTCTTGGAACAACCGAAGTAAGTAGTCTCCAAGTGAGTGTATTATGAGAGACCGTCATGCATATTCAACAAAGATCAAGAGGGATCTAATTGTTGCATGGCTCAAGTTGTAACAACGTTCCATCAAACATTCAACAAGTCAAAACAAAAGAACTTGTAGAGTTCGAATCAGACTAAAGACTAAAGGAGGATATATGGGTTGGTCCATCGAAGTTTCTTAAGAACTTAATGCTTACGTTCATTGGAATTTTGTAAGGTACGTAGATGATATGATTCCCGTGTTAAAGATTCTCCTAAAATCTATGAACTCAAGAGACAGTTGATCAGTAACGAGTTTGAAATGAAAGATTCAGGTGCTTTGAAAACAATCTTAGACAGTAATTTGTTCGTCACACTGAATTTAGCTTTCAAATTTTAATCTCGAACCATAGCTAACTTCGACAATTAACCAAGAAAATGTCATAAATCAATAATAATAATCTTTCTCACTAAACAATCAACTAACTAAGCTCACCCACATCACATCAACACAGAGAACAAAATGAAAATTTCAGCTCAACACTTAGAAGAAAAAAAATACCCAATATGATAAATCAAATCATGGACAGCTCCACTCCAATAAAGGTATATATAATTTTGGATAAAAACAGGCATGTGGCAACATCCAAACAGTAGGGAAACTGGAGCCATCAGGTCCTTGAGTCCATGGCCAAAATGGTGCTGAGGTTCATTGGGTGCATATACTCCTGAGTGCCTGTCAGGATTTGCTGCACAATGAGTCTATTGGCTCTCTCTGATGGATGGAATGGATCCCAAAATGCATAGAGGTCTCTGTTAGGGCACAAGTTGGAGGCTGGAGTGCATAGTCCTATCCCATTGTATGGCCCTTGCCCACAGCAAGCCACCTTTGAAGTTACAAACCCTATCATCGAAAACAAATTACGGGTTACGAAATTGATATTCTTGTCTCGAGCGCAGTTTAAGAACGAAACACCCTATCCCTTTGTATGGTCCTTCCTTTGTAGAGCCATGTATTGTAAGTTGTGAGATCCCACGTCGTTTGGGGAGGAGAACGAAACATTCTTTATAAGGGTGTGGAAACTTCTCCCTAGCAAACGCGTTTTAAAAACTTTGAGGGGAAGCCCGAAAGAGAAAATTCAAAGAAGACAATATCTGCTACGGTGGGTTTGAGCTGTTACAAGTGGTATCAGAGCCAGATACCGGGTGATGTGTCAACGAGGAGGCTGAGCCCCGAAGGTGGGTGGACACGAGACAGTGTGCCAGCAAGAACACTGGACCTCGAAGGGGGTGGATTTAGGGGTCCCACATTGATGGGAGAAGGGAACGAGTGTCAGCGAGGATGCTGGATCCTAAAGGGAGGTGGATTATGAGATCTCACATCGGTTGAGGAGGAGAACGAAACACCCTTTCTAAGGGTGTGGAAACTTCTCTCATTAGACTCGGACAAGCCCAAAGAGGATGATATCTACTAGCGGTGTGATCTGAACCTGCATGGAGCGAGCCTCCCATTGAGGCAAGTGAAGTTGGTGAACCTTATAATGGGCAACTATGTCTTGCGGTTCCGAGAGGACTCAGCTCTTAGTACCTTTGGTTTCGAGGTGGACCCTTTCACTCTATTTTATTATATACGCTCAACGAAAATCATGTTTTTTGATGCACCTAAGACATAGATTCTATATGAAACACAACAATAAGCTCAATTCACCAATAGGGTTTGATTTATCGACTATTATTCTATCTGATATCTCGAATTTAGAACCTAATTCTATCAAAGTCATATAATCGACTCATGGGCTAAGTTATAAACACACGCTAACGAAAGTTCATAAACCAAAACGAAAATGAAGCGAAGAACAAGAGAGGGAGAGAGTTGGTATACCATAGGCTTGAGGGTTAGAGACAAAATCCATGTGCATCATTTGAGTATTGACAGCAATAAAGACCTCTGACCCAATTTCAGCGTTGAGTGAGTTGATAATTTGAACCAGCTGTGGATTGAACAGGCCTGCAGCTCGTTGCAGCTCCACTGAGCACTCACCATTTCTGCTCCTCATAGCCAACTCCGCCGGCACACACCCTAGTGGCCCTGTTCCCGTCACCAACACCCTCCTGGCTCCCAACTCGTATAGCCTCTGCATTCTCAAAACCATGAGATTAGAGTCGATGTAACAATCCAAGCCCACTGATCGAATTTTTAAAACTTGTATGTTAGGGAGAGGTTTCCACACTCTTATCCAGAATGTTTCGTTTCTCTCTCCAACCGATCTGAAATCTCACTGTTGAGGTCGGGATGAAGAATGCAATATGAGTTTTAATGACCATGTTCTTGAATTTTAAAGAGTGTACGATAGATTTCTAACTCTCAGATACTTTTTATGGATTAGAAAACGAGTGGACACGGTTAGATACAATATACAAAACATAGAGACCCGTTAGACACTTTTTCAAGTCAAGACCTATTAAACACGACTATAACAGTTTAACGATCTAAACCCGTGAATCTTTAAACATTAAAACATTCTATTTTAATCTAAGTGTTCAAATTTCATATTTAAGCATCTAAATTTAAGAAATAGAATTATTCATTCTACTTTTGTGTCTAGCTAGACTACTAGCTTGTAACATAAATGACATAAAGAATGTATTATGTTAGCAACAAAGACTAGTCAACTATATAATTAACCCTAGGACAACTGGCCAAGATATTGTATATCTGTCCTAAAGTTTCAATCTCGCATCCTACATGGTCGAAAAAAAAAGTTCAATTTATTTTCAATACGAACGAAAATTTGAATTTTCAACGTTAAAAAACCTATCAACACTGATTATTCTCATATGGGTAGAAAAGTCGAGAGAAGAGAAAAAAAAAAACTTCAAAGAACGAAAAAATTTAGTCAACATAAACAGCCATATACATTGACCAAAAGATCAAAGATAGTGTAACAGTCCAACCTTACCGCTAACAGACATAGTCTGTTTTGGCCCATTACATATCGCAATCAGTCTCACGATTTTAAAAAACACGTGTACTAAGGAGAGGTTTCCACACCCTTATAAGAAATATTTCATTTCTCTCAAACCAATGTGAGATCTCACAATCCACACCCTTGGGTGCTCAGGGTTCACGTTTCCACATCCTTATAAGAAATGTTTCATTCCCCTCTCCAACCGATGTGTGATCTCGCAATCCACCCTTTTAGGGCTCAGGGTTCTCGTTTCCACATCCTTATAAAAAATGTTTCGTTCCCCCCTCCAACCAATGTGACATCGTCACCTCCTTACAGGCTCAAGGTTCTTGTTTCCACACCCTTATAAGAAATGTTTCGTTCCCCTCTCCAACCAATGTGACATCTCACAATCCACCCCATAGAGGCTCAGGGTCCTTGTTTCCAGACCTTTATAAAGAATGTTCCATTTTTCTCTCCACCTGACATGGGATCTCACAATGTTTCAAATCTCCACCCGACAAAAATCGTTCAACCAAACCATTGGTTCTTTTCTTGACAAAACTTTAAAAGCATTTATGAGTTGAGGGTTGTCCATAATTTGATGTCCACAAATCAGGTAAAGACATTAATGGAAAAGCCATAAAAACAACTTGGAGTATTAATTCGAGACACCAACCAAGCAAGTCGTACAATTTGCATCTGTTCTTCATAACTTGGAGTATTAATGCTATCACCAAACTTACCCATTAATTTTTTTGGTTAAAATTTCATTATTTTATGGAAAGTTTGAAACTTTATTAGTTAAAATTCATAAATAAGAGAGAGAAGTTAGAGGTTTTACCGCTAAGATTTTGCGATACTCAGAGATGATATAGACAACATAATCAGGAAGAGGAAACTGGCGTGAACGAGCTGACATTGGCACCAAATAATAGTTGTTTACAAAGTCATTGCCTCCCAATGTTATGAGAATCAATGCGCCATTAACAAGCCTCCTTGCTTCCTCTTCCCCTATTAGTGCGCTCACTCTTGCTTGGTATTGCCTGAAATACTCCAATTGTTGCGTGATTCTTATTATGTTCAACTGCACAAAACAAACACGACATCAATCTCGAGGTTCTTTGGGTCGGTTATCGACCGTTTTGAATGTTGGTTGCTTTGTTATATCTCTCAAAATGTGTTTGGTCTTAGGCTAATCGTGACACCAATCGTTGAAATCAATGAAGTTTAGGTTAAAAATTATGAGACTCCGCGTCGGTTGGGGAGGAGAATGAAGCATTGTTTATAAGAATGTGGAAATATCTTCCTAACAGACGCATTTTAAAAACCTTAGAGAGAAAGCGTAAAGAGGAAATATGTGTTAGTGGTGAACTTGGGTAGTTATAAATGGTATTAAAGCTAGACACTGGGCCATGTGTCAGCGACGAGGCTAAGCCCCGAAGGGGGGTGGATTGGGGGGTTCCACATCTATTGGAGAAGCGAATGAGTGCCGTAGAGAACCCTGGACCCCAGAGAGTGGTGGATTGTGAGATCCCACGTCGGTTGGGGAGGAGAACGAAACATTCTTTATAAGTGTGTGGAAGACTCTCCCTAACAGATACGTTTTAGACAATATCCGTTAGCACTGACTCTCCTTAACAGACACGTTTTAAAAACCCAAAAAATACAATATATGTTAACTATGAGACTCTCCTAACAAACTCGTTTTAAAAACCTTGAAAGGGAACTCGAAAGAAAAAACCCAAAAAAGACAATATTTGTTAGCAGTGACTCTCCCTAGAACAGACACGTTTTAAAAACTTGGAAGGGAAGCTCGAAAGGGAAAACCCAAAAAAGACAACATCTAGAAGTAGTGACTCTCCCTAACATACACGTCTTAAAAATCTTGAATGGAAACTAGAAAGAGAAAATCCAAAGAGGACAATATTGAGTTTTGAAGTGTTACGGAAATAAATAGTTGAAATCTAGTGGTCCTTTACAGACTGTTTTGAATGTCAGTTGAATTATTGGTCAAAAACGTCTTTGTTGTTAGGCTAATCGTGACACAAATCATCAAAATCAATAAAGTTTAGTCTCAAAATATTGAACTTACAAACTGAATTCCAGTGTCATTGAGGATTCCAATGCCAGCAGAAGCAAAATTGGCACCAACCAAAAGGTTTTGACCCCTTAGTTGAGGGCTCAAATAAGGCAAAGTAGATTGAGACCCAATGGCTTGACCTATAAACACAAACACATTAAATAACATTCATTTTGACTTCATTCCAAAAAAACAGCAAAGGAAAAAGAACTAACTGATGAGATCAGGTATGTTGTAGCCATTGGAGAAACGTCCGGTGGGTCGACGAGTCGGGTAGTCGATACCATACGGGTAGTTATCGGCCCGTGCCGTGGTGAGCAAGTAGTCATTGTTTCCGTTGTCGACCAAAGAGTCACCGAACACGAAAAAAGCTCTAGCTTGTGCTTGACAAACCAAGCTACCAAGAAGCAACACAATGAGACCTAAAGTTGAAGGACTCTCCATTGGGGAATCAAAGAAAGAGCTTAAAAAATGTGGAGAAAAGAAGGTTTGAGCTCAACCACAGGCAATGTGCTTTGTGGAATAGTGGGAATGGCTCTTTATTTATAGGGATTTGGTAATACATTCAATATCTTGCTTTGCTGTAATATTAATGGTCTGTTTCTAAGCTGCCATAGAATGGGTGGAGGTTGGATTCGGACCACCCGAGTAATATTGCAATGCACGTGAAGCTTTCTACGTATTATTCTAAATTTTCGACATGGTCACGTTACCTACTTGTCTCGAAATAGTTCTGAGAGTAAAGTTGTAACACCCTAAGTCTGCTGCTAATAGATATGGTCCTCTTTGGATTTTTCTTTTAGGGTTTCCCCTTTAAAGTTTTTAAAACGTGTCTATTAGGAGGAGGTTTCCACACCCTTGTAAAAAAAATGTTTCGTTCCCCTCTCTAACTGATGTGGAATCTCACAATCCACCCCCTTCGAGGCTCAGCATCCTCGTTAAAACTTGTTCCCCTTCTCTAATCGATGTGGGATCTCACAATCCACCCCCTTTGGGGTCCAGCGCCCTTGTTGGGGTCCAGCGCCCTTGTTGGTACACCATCTCATGTCCACCCCCTTTGGGACGAAGGGACCCAGTGACCTCGCTGGCACTCACTCCTCTCTCCGATTAGTGCGGGATTTCACAATCCACCCCCCTTAGGGGTCCAGCGTCTTTGTTGGTACACCGCCTCGTGTTCACCTCTCTTCATGGCTCAGCCTCCTCGCTGGCAAATCGCCGAGTGTCTGACTCCGATACCATTTGTAACGCTCGAATCCCACCGCTAACAGATATTGTTCTCTTTGAGCTTTCTATTTCAAGCTTCCCCTCAAGGTTTTTAAAATGCGTCTATTAGGGAGAGGTTTCCACACCTTACAAAGAATGTTTCGTCCTCTCTCCAACCAATGTGGGATTTCATAGAAGTATATTCCCACAGACCAGCACGAGTTCTTTCCGCATGGTTTGTCTTCACTCACATATTTCAGGGTTACTCAAAGCTAAGCTTATTTAACTTTAGGGTTCTACTAATTGAGCAATCGAGAATGAAACTACATTTTGTTGGTATAGGCCGTAATTATCAGTTTTTATAAACATTTCTTAATCATTATACCCTTAAAATCACTCTCATTCACAAGTAATTTCAGTTCATTCATGTATCTCTCATTTTATCAGTCCAATCTCAATTTCTTGTGAATTTATCGTTTAAAATCATAATTTTATCTTCTTTGCAATTCATGTAATTATTCATTAAATTATTTCCCAAAATGTTTCATTAAACAAATAATGACTTTCCATTTTAGGAAGTAAAGAACACAAAACATAACAAACATGTTTTTACTTTGTCTTTAATAAATTAAAATAAAATTGTATATTATATGAAATGAGGTAAAAAAAAAGAAACTTTTTGTTTCCATTACTCATATATAATTTTAGAAATATTTAAAATAAATATATGTTTTTCAAAGAGATTAAAATTTTAAAATAAAAATTAGTTGGTATGAGAATTAATTATTCATATGTATTTTATTACCCTACCAACTTAAGAAGGCTCTTAAATACAAAAGTAAATAGAGAGAAATATTTTACTTTTTTTTATAAAAAAAATTATCTTTTAATTATTGAAAATCAAATAATTTTATTTTAAGATAATATATATTTATTTTAGCTAATGAGATTTAAAAAATACATGTGTGGGAAGGGAAAGATGACGTGGCACAATTATGAATTATTTTATATTATTTTAATATTATTGATGTGGCAAAAGATTTTTTTTTTTAAATAGTTTTTTTAGAAATTACTAAATCTTTAATCAAATTAAACATTAAATAATAAAAATATAATTTATTTAAAAAATATCCTTAGAATTTTTTAAATTATTTAAAAAATATTTATGAAAATTAAAAATTTTCATTAATTTCTTTAATTTTTTTTTTTTTTTTTCAAAAGTTAGTTATTTGTTTTTAAATGTGTTACTAACGTTCTCATCCAAATATAACGGTAATAGTGTTTTTGAACTTTTTAAAAAAAATTAAAAATGTTTATAAAGTTTGTAAGGGTACTGATCTTTATGCTCGTTATGTATGAACAGTTGTAGTGTGACAGTGAAATCGAGCTTAAAAATTTCTTTAAGAGTTGATTTGTATGTTGACTATGAATGAAATGTTATAGCATGACACGTGATTTTCTAAATACGGCTTAGGTATAAATGTTCTTAACCATCTATGATATCAATTGTGGTTCTTTATGCACTATGTCCCAATTATATTACTATTATGTATATGCATTTTCATGTTATCAAGCTACCGTGATGAAAATGTTAGAGAGTCGCCAACCAACCTCTAGTAGCGAGAAGTTCATTATATATAACCCATATGTATGTATCTCGTCACGCTATCAGATTACTATGATACTTTCCCTTTTGAGCTTCCCCTCAAGGCTTTTAAAACGCATTTGCTAAAACACACCCTTATAAAGGGTCCTCAACTAATATGGGATTCTCACAATCCACCCTCCTTCGGGGCCGAGCGTGCTCGCTAGCACTCGTTTCTTTCTCTAATCGATGTGAGACCCCACCAAATCCACCCCTTCGGGCTCCAGCGTCCTTACTGGCACACTGCCTCGTGTCTACCCCCTTCGAGGAACAACTTCTTTGCTGACACATAGTCTGGTGTCTGGCTCGGATACCATTTGTAAAGACCCAAGCCCACCGCTAGCAGATATTGTCCTTTTTGAACTTTCCTTTCAAGCTTTCCCTCAAGGCTTTAAAATGCGCCTGCTAAGTAAAAGCTTCCACACCCTTAAAGACAGGGTTTCGTTCTCCTCTCCAACCATCGTGAGATTCTCACATAGAGGATCATTACAGTCCACTGCACGAGTCAAATTACTCAAAAAAAGAAAACCGAGCAACTACTCTTTGCAAATAATTCCCTAAAATGAAATTTTAAAAGAAAATTATTGGGCCATAATAAAGATTTTGTGTTATGGATCCAATAATGTCTTCATTTTTTAGATTATATCATAAATTCATTGTTAACTACCAAATTTTTTCTTCTTTTTTTTTGGTCCTTTTTAGTGATGAAAAGCAAAGGAGATAAGATTGTCCATTGATGAAAGCCAGCAATTACAGCTTGAAAGAGATGGAGAAAAAAAGGTGTTAAGTGACATGTGATTGCATTGAATTTGGTAGCTAGGGTTTAGGGAAGCTCTATTATTATGGGACGCCCCATTTCAACCATTCCTACCTATAAACTTTTTATGCCCGATTAATATAGTAATGTTGTTCGTGTTTGGAGTATCTTTTTTCTATTTAGTCCCTAATCTTTTAACATTTTTCAAGTCAGACCCTTATTCGAGAGCAAATAATAAAACACGAGCTTAAGTTTAAGAGTATTTTTAGATAAAGTACAAAGTTTATGGGTATTTTTATTAATTTAGCGTAATACTTGTTTAGTAGAAATTTAGAGGAGAAAAAACGGTCCTCTAAGAGAGGAAATTTCTAATTCTATCCCTAAATTTCTCGAAAATTGACATTTTTTTCCAAGGCGGAAGTTGATGGGCATGTGACACCCGAACAAGGGATACATAAATGAACCGAAACCACATTCAAATGAGCGCGATCCGATGAGTAGTCATCATTGATCTGTGTAGATTGTCATGACAGAGTAGTCATCGTTGCAATCGTCAGCTTCGCACGCAGTTGAGAGTGAGGAGGAGAGATTGTTGGAGGAAACGTTCGTTCAATGCAAAGTTGCATATGTGATTGTATTGAAGGTTGAACTAGACCGAAGATATGCAAACATTGTTAGAAAAACTAAAAAGAATTTAAAGTTATCTTCCTTTTCAGTGGCTCAATCATATGAACTCGAAAGTCAAACGTACTTGACTTTAGGTGACCTCCTTAAAATTTGTCTAGAAAATATGTAAGGACAAAATATGCTTGAAAGACCCGTGATGGTTTATGAGGTCAATACTCACTCTTAGAAATAATTTAAGAGCGAGGTGCGTCGGGATTGTGAGGTCTTGACCTGTTATTCTCATTCGATGCCATAAATGTTATAATAAAATCATAATTATATTAGATGAAATAATGAATGAAATGCAACATGAAAAAGCATACAATTATAAAATTTAAGAAAATGAAATGAAGTATTTTAGTGAATAAATATGAGCAATAGTCTTATCTTTAATTATTATTTTGAAAAAGACCTTAAAGAGTAAACATGAAATTAATAATTTGGACCAAGTTTGAATCTTCTTTTTCTCTTTTCATGTCTTTATGTTACGTTATTCGGGTGATTAGTTGTCTGAAATTGTTAGAGAGTATATTTAATGATCACCGTTAAGAGTTTTTATTTTGAAACTATATACGTTATGTTTGTAAAGCAAACTCGAAACATGTTGTTTTACTTTAGTTAAGGGTTAAGTTTTCTTTGCAATTTTATGTAGTTTAGATTACATGTTTAGAATCATTTAAGCTTGACATGATCGACCTTTCTTGTAGAGTAATTCGAATCTCAATCCAGTGTTCTTGCCTTGAAATATTCGATCAACGAGATAATTCAAATTTTACATTTCCTTGGAGGGCTAAGCGTTCTTACTTTTTCCTTTAGCCAATGACAAAGTTTCTTTACAATTCTATATAGTTTAGATTGTATGTTTAAAATCATTAAAGTTCGACATGATCGATCTTACTTTTAGAGTATTCGAATCTCAAACAAGTGTTCTTGACTTGAGATATTTGATCAACAAGGTAATTTGAATCTTACTTCCAGTGATTCTTTATCATCTGGTATTAGAGCTTTTTCTGGAGTTGATTTCGTATCACAATCTCTATCAACAAGTGTTCGGTGCCTTTGAATAGTTTCTCCACATCTAATCTTCTATTCAAATCATTCTCAAGGTTTCTATATCTATTTTCTTTGATTTTGCTCATATTTAAATTTAATGTACAGCAAGCTTTTTCTTTCTCATAAACAAGACTAATTATTGTTCTCAAAATCCAGACAGGGATAGCACATGACTGTAACACGATAGCAACGATCACA